AATACCGAACCAACGCCCTCCGTTGCTCCATATTTTCAAAGAAAAAAGGCAAGTGAAAAAAAGTTGTTCAATAGATTCCTCATCGTCTTTGCATAACGAACATCTAGATGACATACGTAAACCTTTTAATTTAAGAATATCATCGCATGGGATCACTTTCTGAAACATCCTCCATACCAAAAAAGACAGAGGGAGTTGAAGCAGGGCTCCATATATTATCACCCCATTTGGTTTTAGCAAAATGGTGTAGAGAGAAATTAAGATTTATAGATATAGAGCCTTTAGTATCAGTTTTAATCATAGGAACATCCTTCATATGTGTCTCGAAAGGAGTATATGAGATAAATTTAGCATTTTTCTACCCCACTAGCTGAGTAAGTAATGAGAAATTCCAACCACCATGAAGCCAAGTATCAGAAACGAGGATATTAGCATCAACATTCTCCCCCAAATAACAAGGCACCTGGGACCACATTTCCTTCCAAAAGGATATATTTCCGCAACCCAAGTCCCAAAAAATAAAAGAGTTAGCCCATTCACAATTTTGTAAAAGTTTTTTCCACACTCTAGAATCACCAATGCACCAAGTAACTAAAGAAGGATTAGTTTTATAGCAATATTTGCTAAGCATAAAAGTGGCCCATAAAGACTCTCGTTTTCGGAAATTGAACTAAAGTTTAAAGTAATTTATATTCACGATCTGATGTAACTGTTTAAAACCCAAACCTCCCTTAAATGTCGGCTTACAAACCTTTTTCCAAGGTAACCATTTCCTGCCCGAATGATCACCAGCCCAAAGGAATTTATTGAAACATCGTTCAAGAACCTGTTGTGTGCTCTTTTTAATGTGCAGTACCTGCAAAACATGTAATGGCAAACTTTGTAGAATACTCCTTTGGACAGTGATCCATCCTCTGAAAGACAAGAAGTTATGTTTCCAATCAAGAATCCTATTACACACTTTTTCTACCATATCATCCAATTGAGACTGTTTCCTACTCTTGAGGAGGTTAACCCCCAAATGTTTAAGGTGAAGAGAGGAGAGAGAGAATCCCGTGAAGGATGCAATTCAATCTACTTTTCCACGGTCAACAGACTTCCTCGTATAAATATGACATTTGCTAGCGCTGAATTGGAGACCCGAAACATTCTAGAACTCCTCCAAAACTTGACATATTTCCTTAACATTCTTCTTGCACACATTAGAGAATAGTATAACATCGTCCGCATAAGCCAAATGAGATACACAAACCTTGGACTTGCTAGCAAAATGTAATGATGGTGCTCTTGTAAAGAGTTCATTAATTAAGTGAGAGAAATAGTTAAAGACCAAATTGAATATAGTAGGGGATAAAGGATCCCCTGTTTAACCCCACGACCCACAGAGAAGAAACCATGTGCATTCCCATTAATAATGACGCTATAGTAACCAGAAAAAAGCCAAGTATGAATAAGTTTGCAAAATTCACTAAAAAAACCTCTTTCTTTGAGTACCTTCAAAATAAACTCCCAACATAGAGAGTCATAGACTTTTCGAATGTCTAGCTTTGTAATTAAATTTCCCCCCTCTACATCTCTTATCTATATCATAGATTAACTCTTGCGTCAACATAGTATTATCGGTAATTCTTCGACCCTGTATAAAGGTCGATTGGTTTAGTGAGGTAATGTGATGTAAATGAGGTTGAATACGCATCGCTAAAATTTTGCTAATAGCTTTCGTGATCACAGAAGTCATAGAGAGAGGCCTAAAATGTTCCCAAACAGTCTTATGTGTCGATTTAGGAATAAGAACAATAGTGCCAGCGGTGAAATATTTTCCAGGAACCTCACCCCTGAAAAAGCTTTGGATGGTTTCCACCACATCTGTTTTAATAATACCCCAACATTTAATATAAAAATCTGATGTAAACCCGTCCGGACCAGAGACCTTATTACAATTGATATCCGAGAATGCATTGAAGATTTCCTCTTCTTTAGGGATACTACAAAGATCTAATCCCCCAGTATAATTTCTAACATCATTAAACAAGTGAGCCTCAATATCTCCTGTAGTTTGATGAGCTTGAAACAGGCTTGTGAAGTATTTTACAGCACTCTCCCCCAGTTCAAGATCACCTGTAACCCAGTCTCCATCCTCATTTTTTATACGAACAATAGTCTTACTAGCCTTGCGTTATTTTATGCTTTGCATGAAAATATTTTGTAGTTCTATCACCTTGGGTGAAATGCAATTCCCCAACTTTCTGTTGTAAAAACTCTTCCTCCCACATAGTAGCTTCCAACAGTTCCTTATGTGCTTCCTGTAGCTGAGGAACAAAATCAATAGTAGAGTGATGAAGAGTTTGTAACGTATTAACACGTTGTTCAGCCTTAAGCACTCTAGCATGAACATCATCGAAAACCTCCTAGTTCCAAGCTCTTAACGCTGAAGCCACATTCTTATAAAGCTTCCAAAGAAGAAACCAAGCAATACTTGCCTTGCAAAAAGACCAGTTAGCAACAATGAAAGTTAAAAAATTCTCATGTTTAGCCCAAACATTCAAAAATCTAACGTGGTACCTGGTGGATTTTTTAAGGAAATCAAAGGAGAGAAGGAGAGGATTATGATCACATCCAGAGATGCATAAATTTTGTACTCGTGAGAAACTAAAAGAGTTGTTCCAAGTCTGATTCCTGAAGCATCTATCAAGTCTTAGAAAAATTTTCCGTCGCTTCCAAGTAAATTTTGATCCCACAAATTCCAAATCAAACAAACCAGCATCCACCACAACCTAACCAAACTTGTCCATCAAAGAGAGGCAAACCCTACACCCTCTAAGTTTCTCAGAGTTATGCAAAATCATATTAAAGTCCCTCCCAATCATCCATCTATCTGGCGTGACAGCTCCCAAATTTCTAATGTTATTCCAGAGATCATATCTAGGCTGTGAAGAAGTTTCCGCATAGACAAAGGTCAACCACCCCATGAAGTCATCGATAGCAAAATATAGATGCACAAACTGGCCTTCATGAATCACAATATTAACAAAAATGTGTTTCCTCGAAAACACCCAAATCTTGTTAGAACAATTATTGAAACAGTGGAAGTGTTTAAATTTACCCAAAATACGATCAGCAGAAGCCGAGACTAAAGGTTTGAAAATAGAGAAAATCCCAACTTTATGAATCATTGTCAGTAACTTGAGTCTACCCAGGGAGTAAGGATTCACAACTATCCAGATATTCCAAACTAATACGTTAAACATGGTTGGATGAAATACCATTTCTAGAAGCTCTAGTCCAGGTACCTCCATGTTCACCTTCCGAGTAATAATGATCCGCTTCCTCGGAATTTCTACTCTCCTTTAGACTCATCAATTCATAGTTTCCCTTTTTCTTTCGTCAGCGAGATTTCTGCACTTGCCATTCTTCCCCTAATAGATTAGAAACCTCTTCCAACAGAATAACAGTGTGACAAGATGCAACCCCGGGGCTAACCGGCCGAACCAGAACATCCTCAAAATTCGAAACAACGTGGTGAGGAGAGGGAAGTTCCCCTTGGGTTTCCCTAGATGCCAAATTTTCCTTAGCATTACACTTTTCAAATGTAGCCGAAGGTCCTATAAGCTCAGCATCACAGTTGTGCAAATCCCCCGCAAGGCATATTAGAATTATTGTCCACCTGTCATCGGAGGAGTACTCTTATGAGTGAATTTATCAGCATGCCCCACATTCCTCTTTCGCCGTTCCGGATGTAAGTGAAAACACTGCACAGATCCGTGACCAAACATTCGATAATCAGCAGTAGGAGGGGTGTTTTTCAAGAAATACTTGTTGCTAGTATCCGTTGTGTGCTGAGCCATTTCAGACCTCATCTGGAGGCGGCAAAGTAATATCCCTTTCAATTAAGATTCTTGCCATCGAGGGTCTCGATAGGTTAAAGGTGGGAGCATCTAGCGTCAGAGGATTACCAAACATTGCAGCTAAAGAAAATAAAATTTCATGATTGAATAAATGCACCTGCAAACCAGGAAGCCGAAGCTAAACAGGGATTATAGGGATTTCATCTTGAGGATCGAAATCCACAGACCACTTTAAGACTTTCATCAACACATCCTCAAACCGAACAATGCGCCTAGCAAATAATCTTGCATAATCTTATTAGACAGCTGAATCAAGATGTGTCTACCATCCAGTGCGCCGATTTGCCACCCGCCGACCAGATTCATGTGCTCAAAATGCTTGCGGAGAAACTCTAATTTTGGATTCCCAAAAACAAATTTTCCCACCAAATGAAAATGACACGACGAAGCAAGGATATTATTTTCGGATTCAGAAAGGAAAAGAGCGAGTTTTCCCCCCTTTTTTCCCTTTTTTTTTTGAAACTATACTCCCCACCTACGGCGAGCGAATCGTAGAAAGCAGGAGTAAAAACTAACTTGTTCAGGCCACCACCAGAGGAACCTCTGGCGTTAACGCCGGCATAAGATCTCTCCATCGGCACAAATCTACACTCGGCGCCATGAAATCACAAACGGAGCAAACCCTAGCATAGCTCAAAACACAGCCACCATTATATATATATAAGCCTCTTTGGGCTTTCTAAAAAAAAAAAAAAGGCTATGTAGTGTAATGTTTGAAATCCGAATATTCTCTAGTTTCTTCCGGATAAGATCAAATAAGTGGAAGCAAATATATTCCTATATATTTCTAACAAATGCTCATTTTCAGTTCTGTATATTTCCAAAAGCAGATAATCAAATCTGATAAGTTAAATAAATATAAAATGAAAGAAATCTGTTCATTAAAACACATGAAAATGGACTTAGTTTAAATCTATTATGGCATGATTTGACTCCTTGTAATTGGCCTATGGCAAATTGAGTTTTTAAAGGATGACATGGATTGATTGGTGGCCCGTGCTGTATCAGCTTTTGACAATTCATATTACTTTGACATTTTTTTTTATTTGATTTAGTATCTTATTCTTGATTTTTTTTAACAATACTTTATTGCAGTTGAAATAACGTTGGATGATCCTTCAATTTGGAGTACTGAAGCTAAAACTTATGAAATGTGGATATGTTCGGTTGTTCACAAACTTGTTGTCCAGTGTGACGATGTCATCTTGAGGCAACTTTTAAAAAAAAAACAACTTCCCTTCTTGTGTTTTGTATTGTTTTTGATGGTTCTCGTACTAAATTTGTTTGCAGACTTTGTCAAGCGGTGGTTTTGTTGAAAGCTGATGTTGCCGAGCTGTTGTTTCCTAGTGTGCTTGTGAATCTAGCATTGAAGAATGATTCCAGTGCCGGCATGTGTCAGTTGATATCTATGAAGGTTCAAAAATTGATTTGGTGGTGCTAAATAGCTGATGTGGTTCACTGTTTCTTTTTTGGTTGCTTCATAATTTTATATGTAGTCTATTGTTTTATAGGTTCAGGAGAACGTCTTTGTTGAGTCTAATGGGTTACTTAAGACTGCCCAGGTTGTTCTGGATGCAATGAATAGGCTTCGGTCAATTTATGTGAACGAGCAAGCTGCATCCAGCTTTACTGCTAAGGTACTCCTTTAGTTTAGATCTAGTGGGAACATATTATGTAAAGCCTTGATTTTTGAGTTTGGTTGACTTAATTCGTTCATCCTGGTTGGCTACAGGTTATATTTGATTTTGTATTAATTAACTAGTCATTGACTAACAAAATTAACTGCCAGAGACATTTGCTTTTACTTGCCACCTACCGTAAAATCACTTTTGGATTAAAAGAAAAGTCTAGCTGTATTTTTCTCAGATTTAGAAGTAATGGGATCCTTTTTGGTCATTCTGTTCTGTTTCCTAATATTGTCAGCTTTTTTGAACTTCTGGGGATAGTCTTGTTTTTAAAATCAGACCAATAAATTTAATATTTTGTATAAACCACTATGATTTCATGACATTAGTGTTTGTTCGCAGCAGTTGGGAGTCTAATCTTATAACTTATATAGAATCGCCTTTCATTACTGTTAGATCTTAGACATCTTTTTGATGATTTTCGTTCAAGGAAAAGGTCTAATTTTTAAATGACGTTGCTTTATCCTATATTACTTTTATACTTCATAATTTGCTTCTTTGCAAACTAATTTATTTTTAGTTTGTTTTCTACGTTAAAGTTGAGTTTTTGATTCTCTTTTTGGAGCTTTTTTCATTTACCACATTGTTTTGCTAGTTGCAGTCTGACAGAACAAGTGTTTCAAGGTCTCGCTATCCAACTGAAAGGCCAAAATTTCGCACATCAAACATGTCATTGTTAAATTCCTCATGGAAAAAGGTCAGTATTTTTTCCAATGTCTGTTTATTTATTGATTTAGTTATTTTAATTATTTTATATGTCTCCTGCGGTATTGGAGTTAACTTTTCTATCATGTTATTTAGTCTTCTTTTGCCACGTCTAATAGGTCAGCTTGACCTGCATTTGTTGAGCAAAAATTGTAATTGTTTAAAAAAAATATAATTATTGGTCAAAATTTTTGCAAAATTTTACTATTACTTTTGGAAAGCATGCATTGGGAAACAATATCGTAGGCGATTCAGAAAATAGAAAGCTATATTGTTGCACATCAGAAAATATGAGAAGATATTTATGTGGCTTAGTTTGATTCGCCTGCTTTTTGACCTTTCAAAGAGATGTTCCACTTCTGTGGAGATTGTGATAGCTGTTCATATATTTTTAATCTTTTTTCAAAAAAGAAATTCTCCCTCATTTTCTATGCGGTTTAGTACTCTGTCCCTGGTTTTTTCATTCTCTTAAATGTCTCTTATCTTTCTCTAACACGAAAAAAATTTCTATTCGGACTCCGGACGTAGCTCTACGTGCGGATTTCCAGTAATATACCGCCATATGTGTTCTATTGGGCCCATAAAAATAATATTGAACTGAAACCGCAGACTCCACTGTAACCCCGAAATAACCTCGAAGTAACCTCTGTGGTTCCACTTTAATAACCCCGAAATAACCTCTGTGAAATAACACCGTGGAGTTTATTTCGGGGTTATTGAAGAGAAACTTATATATTTCACTTCAATAACCCAGAAATAACCTTCGCGGTGTTATTTCAGGGTTATTTAAGTGGAACTGCGGAGGTTATTTCGGGGTTGGTTTTTGAAGTGAAATATATGAGGTTCTTTTCAATAAACCCCAAAATAACCTTTGTTGTTCTACTTCATTAACCCCGAAATAAACTCCGCAATGTAGCAAACGTGGCGACATATTATTGGAGTGCGCACGTAGAGCTATGCCCGAAGTCGGGATAAAAAATTCTTCCCTTTAACACTGTTCTTTTCTCTTAATAAATACTGAAAATGCCAAAATTGGTGGAATGCGATGAAAATAAGCTGATTATATACTTCATATAGAGATTTTAGTATAACATTTTTTCTAAAAAAGTTATATATATGTGTGTATATATATTTATTTATATTTATCTATATGTCGTCATGGCATTGTCTTCCTCCCTTCTCGGCTATGCTAGGGTTTCACCTTATGGCGAACCCTAGCAACTGTTACGACGAGCTATCACATCAGATCCTCTTCTCTATTCACTGCGTCTTCTCCGACGTCCCTTCTTCATCGTCGCCATTTCGGAAAGTCGCCGCAGTCTTTCCTCCTCGTTGACGCCGTTTGCAAGGTCCGCCGCTCTCCTTTTCTTCTTCGTCATTGCCTCTTGTCTTTTTCCATGCCGCGTTTTTTTCTTTCACAATCCTCGGGCTCGAGCATAAACCACCCTCTGTTCGAGCAAGTCGTTGCCTCTCGTCCGTAATTCTCGGGCTCGAGCTGAAATCGCAGGGGCTTCACAGAGGGGTTTCCTCTCCTGCTCCTTTTTCTTGATTCGGATTTTGCTCACTGCTTTGTTTCTTCATTATTCTTAACGCCGCACCTCCTTCTATTAGGGATGGCTTCAGAAAGATCGTATGTTGCTGCTTTTGCGGGTGTCCATGCTATAAGTATACCTAAATCGTACCTTTCCCTTCTTTGTTTGAGTTAGCGAAGGACATCAAGAAACCTGGTAGAAAGAATTAGAAACCTGCCATCTTTTTTACATATGCTGAAAATATTCAACTTGCTTTCTCCTGTCGATTGAATTTGGTTGAAAATTTTCTGTAAGACCATCTCAAAATGGAGCTGATTCGTAAATAATTTGAGCTTATGCACCTTGTTGGGGAGTGAAAAATTGGACTATTTGATGAAATACACTTTATTATACAACTTAATAATGAAAAGGATTACACGCGCTTATTTGCTAGAAGGATAATCTTGATTGATAACAGAGCAATAAATATTGTGAAATAGTATGTGGATTTTAACCCACAGACGGAATCGCCAATCATTCCGGTTTAGATTCGTCTCCCTGGTCTCAAATTACATTATTTTACTCAAAAAGTGCACTCTATTGTCTCAGTTTATGATAAACCACTAAAAACAAATATTCCTACTTTTAATATTTCCCTTCCATCGGAAGTCATAGTTCTTGTTGAAAGATACATCACTTCATCCGCTTACGAGGAAATTTGGTTGCGCATACAACATCATGAATATTGACAAAAGTTAGTGATTGAGATTTTTTCTTCGTATTGTTCGAACTGTCGTATGTTCATCCACTTAAGTTTTCAATGCCACCATATACATCCTCGCCTCAGAGCAAAAAAGCAGTGCTCTGCCAGAGGCAGTAAATTCGTCTCCTCCTGATTAGCTCCAAATTATTAACACTATTGATCATCAAAAGGATACCCCTGAAGACGTCACTATTCTCGCAGGTAATATGACAATCATTCAGTCTCCATACAATGTTGTAGCTCCCCCGTCCTTAGAACCTCCTATAATGGGAGAGAGAGAGATTCTTCAGACCCCCCCGTCCTAGAACTTATCGCCGATATTACTGGTCGCAATACTTCTACTACTTCACTACCATCTCATCAGGTCAAGCAAGCTGTTAATATTACTCAGGCTCATGGGGATCATGATGTGCAACAACCTACACTTGTCCGACCAACTTTGGAACAATCTATTGATCAGATGAGTCAATCATCGGATGAGGAATGATAGGTCTACACATTCAGGAAGAAGAAGAATGAAGACCTAGTTGAGCTCAGGAATCTGATGGATGATAGTTTGGTTACTTTCAGCAATGGTACTCGTCTTAATAATTTGTTAGCTGACTCACTTCCGAGAACTAGAGACAGAGAGAGGACTAAAGTGGGACATCCCTAACACTTTTGCGCTCGTTGGTGGTTTTTGGTTTTTTACCTTTATGTATCTTTGCTTTATTTGAGATTTGTGTGTTATATTATGTGAGTTGGGTTTTCTTTTAGACACTCTCATACAACCTTTCTGTATCTTTTTCACTTTAATATATTAGCCTTAGGCTTTTTCTATATATATACATATATATATCAAAAATGCCTATGGGCAATTATATTAAAGGGAAATTGATACAGATAAGTTCTATGAGCAGACCCAAAAAGACACCAAATCCACGATACAACACAAAAAAAAAACCAAAAAAGAGATGGTACATATAAGATCAATCGGGCCGACCCAATTTAGTTCTGTCTCTGCCTCTGCCTCAAGTTCTCGGAAAGGAACGAGCTAACTAATTGGTGAGGTGCGTACCATTACCCGAAGTAGCCAAAATATCATCCATTAGATTCTTTAGCTCATGCAGATCTTCATTCTTCTTGTTCCTCCTGGAAGTGTAAACTTGTCATCCTCATCCGAGGATTGTTGCTCTTTCGGATGAGGTGGTAGAGCTGCAGTAAAAGGATTGCCAACAGTTATACCGACAATAGGTTCTAATGTATGTGAAGTATGAATTGTCCCCTCTACATCTGATACTTTTTGAAGTTGGGAGCTGCAAGGGTCTTCTGATGATCAGTCTGAACATTATCTTTTGTAGTTAAGGATCTTTCAGTACTGTTTTCAATAGGGTTTGAAAGTGTAGGTTGCCCAACAGTCTCACCCAGCATCACATTTATCACAAAAATAATATTGTCAGGGGGGTTCCCATGGGTAATTATATCAGACATAAAATCCTGTCATTTGGTAGTTTTCTCTCCTGGTGGAATAGATTTGTCTAGAGCAGTGGAGTTAAACTCATCCTTATTTACTTGATCTTTAGATTTCAAATTAGGATGAAGCTTATGACATTTATCGAGAACATGCCCAAACATCTTATGATGAAACAATAAGGAGGTTTATGTTCCATGACGATTTGTTGCCAATATTCATAATGAGTTGTGCCCAACCAGACTTCAGTAACATTAGGTAAAGTAATATCTCTTTCTACAAATATTCTGGCCACAGAAGGTCTAGTTAGGTTAAAAGTGAGTAGATCCAGCTTCATAGGGCCCCCAAGTATGACCCTAATAGAGTAAATAACCTGATGATGAGAAAGGTGCAGCTTGAGACCAGGTAGACTAAACCAAACCGGTATAGTAGGAGATTCATAATTGGAGTCAAAATCAAGAGACTATTTGAGTAACTTCATTGACTTGCCTGCAATGTTATGATATTTTTTGGAGAAAATTTGAATGTAGTTTTTCAGTCATAGTTAATTGAATCAACACGTCTCCGATCAGTGAGCCCCACTTTTTTTTTTCCTGCTAGTTTGAAGTCCTCAAACTTTTTCCAATAACTTACATAGATGGGTGCCCTCGTTGAAATTTTTCAATAATAGCGAACTTGAATTTTTTATTCATGGTTAAAATTCCTAATTCAGAGAAAAAAAAGTTATTCTTTCCACTTTTTTCTACTTGTATTCTTAACAAAGGGGCAGTCATCTGTCCCGTCACGACAATCCTTATAACTTGAGGGGAAGACAACCGCCGACTCGACCTGAGGATTATCCACCACGTGGGCAAAGGAGGCTTTGCCCTGTTCAACTAAAGTATAAGGAAGCGCCATCAGAGCAGAGAAATCCTCCTTCCACAAGATCTCAATAGAATTGCTCTCTGCGTACTCCTGAGAACTCGGAAGGCGAACATCAACGTCGAACAGAAAGACATAGACGTGAACTGAAGCTCTTGGGCAGAGAGGGGCAAAATTCGGCGTCAAAACAAAGGAAGGGCGATGCAAACATAAACGGAACAGTCGGCGTGGAAGAAGTAACAACGCGAGCCGATAAATCAGAAAGTTACGAGTGGAAGGGAAGAGTCTACGACAGCGACGAGGTGCGAGTCCTCTCCTTCGAGCGACAGAATCATAGGCACAAAGGAAATTGCCATTCGAAACCCTAGCAGGGCTCTCGTTCGCCATTTTTTTATATATATCTATAT